CCCCCCCCCCCCCCGTATGCCTCACTACAGCCTCTTTTCAATAGTACAGCACAAACAAGAGCCAAGTTTCCATCCCCTGGAGATGTAGGAACTGTAGCATTAGGTCATGACTTAGGTCAGGCAAGATTTGAGTGAGTTTGCCTGCAAAATGTCCTGCAAATTCCTCATAGTGAGCTTCTGAGAGGTTTGCACTTTTGGGGTTAGAATGCAAAAGGCCCCAGGCTGTGCTGGATGACTCTGTGTAGAGGCAATGGTGACAGGAAAGTAGAATTTCTTTGCTGCTAAAACTGCCATGCTATAGGCTTTCCAATGGTCTGTAGCCTGTGTTTGGTTGGACTTGCTCTGGGTTTTCTTCCATCAACACTGAAGTCTCTGTGCCACTCATTTCATCATTGCCAGCTCCATGGTAAACTAGGAGGCTTATTTGGTTCTACTCCATTGGAGGGGATGCTTAGGAGTGATCATAACCATGTCCCTATTGCAGAGGTCAGCCAAAACTTTGTTAGGATCACAAGCCAAGGCAACAGGACCCCCCCCCTCCAGGAACAATCAGGAATCTACTGGGATTAGTAAGGTTCTGGGATCAGACTGTCTTAGTCAACCTTTCTACCCCTGCAGAGGTTCTAAATCCTAATGAATCTAAAGCCCACCAGGTACTAATTTGCCCATGGGCTATGTGTAAGTGTATTATTTGAATTTGTACATTAGCATTGACATTGACGCTTAATTGTCTTTACCTTCCTGCACAAATTTGTACCTGTATTCAATTTGCCTTTGCTCCTCCAAAAATGCACTGCTAAGCGAATCCATGCAAAGCAGATGGATGGTCACACATTTAATAATACTTTTAGATACTCCAGTAAAAACCACAGATCCTTTTTTGCAGAGTTTATGGAATCTCTCATCCCAGTGGTGTCGCTGGGCAGGTGTGGACGGCACCAGGTGATTCACCACAGGAGGAGCGCCAGCCTGGTGGGGTCCTCCTGCCGCTGCTGAGGAGGGGCAAGTGTCTCGTGGCTTCACTGCAGACCTGGCTCCCTCATTGGGGAGAGAGCTGAAATGGTGGCGAGGGCAGCAGACCAATGCTGAAACCACCAGGAGCATGTTCACTCCTCTGCTGCCCTTGCCACCACTTCAGTTCTCTCCCCATGGAGAGAGCTAGGCCAGTGATGAAGCCACGAGGGGTGAGCAGCAGGTGGACAGGCAAGCCACTACTGCTGCCCACTCAGCAGTGTCCCCCCCCCCGCTGGGTCTCACAAAGCTTGGTGACACCATTGCCTCCCTGAAAAAGCCTAAATTCCTCTGGATCGGGTGTGGCTGGATCACAGTCTATTCATATTGAATTAGTAGTATTTACATTGTGTAGACAAGCCATAAAGAGCCAGTCTGGCATAGTGGTTTGAGTGTTGGACTGTGACTCTGGAGTCCAAGGTTTGATTCCCAGCAGACATGAAACCCACTGGGTGACCTTGGGCAAGTCACGCTCCCTCAGCCTTGGGAAGGCAATGGCAGACTTCCTCTGGACAAAACTTGCCAAGAAAACCCCATGATAGGGCCGTCTTAGGGTTGCCATAGGTTGGAAAAGACTTGAAGGCATACAAGAACAACAAAAGACAAGGCCTATGACAATTAAACTATATAAAGTTCCTCCGCAGGCTTTGGCAGGTCCATTAGATAAGTAGACAAACAGAAGTGGGTAAGGACCAGCTCTTGGGTTAATTAAATTGACTTCTCATTCCCTTCAGAAGCTTCCTGTCAAGGCTGAGGTTAGTATTGGTGAATACTAAGAGACATTTTAACTTGCCTTTTAAAGTGGGGTGCTGTCACCTTCCTGAAATCAGTGGGGGTTGGAGTAATTTTAAACCTTACAGGATTTTAGCTTGGCGTTGAACTTGTATGCCAAGATCAAAAACTAATGTAAAGGCTCTGAGGTAATTTAGCTTTCTTCATGTTATATGGCCCATTTTATTACTTTTCTTGACATGACATTTATTTAATTAGATTATATTCTTTTCTGGAACAGATCCAGATTTCCCCATGTTTTCTTTTGCCCTTTAAATTTTATACCAAAAATATCATATGGGCTTTGTCTCTCTTGCCTTGTTGGGATGAGGTTTTGTTAGAGCCACACACTGGTCATGGTTATTCTCTGCTGGGCTCTACAGTACTGTTAAGATCTACAACTGCACAAGGTGCTAAAGAAATTCTCAGAGTCTCCAAGGTCTACTTACAGAACTTTACTACAGTGGGACCTTGGTATCCACGGGGATCCGTTTCAGTGCCGCTGCCCCCCCCATACCAAAAATCATGGATGCTCAAGTCCTGTTGTTCTTATGTAAATCCCTTTGTTGGGGAGGCCTAGGTGGGGAAGGAGGGTGTTGGGGCTGGTCATGCGGAGAGACCAGCGAAGAAGCAAGACCTGGTTAGGGGGGTTTGGGCTTCATTTAGAGGAGGAGTTTCACTGTTGCCACCACACTCCTGAGGCAGCTGAGCCATGAAGAAGAAGGGACTGGAGGCCCAGGCCATGCTGCACCTGATCCCGTTCAGCCAGAGGAAGAGGAGGAGGAGAGGGAGGGTGGGTAGGGCCTGGCAGGGACCAACCTGACTGGCTCCTCCCACCCTGGGTGGCCAGCTGCCCGGGAGGAGAAAAGCCTGCCCAAGATGGCTGAGAGAGGAAGAAAGAAATGTGGTGGTGGTGGTGGTACTTTCTGAGGTGCCACGTTCCCACCCTTTTTCTTCTTCCCTGGCCACCAAGGGGCTCTTTGGGGGTGAACAAAAGGTGGTTGCTGCCCAGCCTTGTGGCAGGGCACTCTGTTCTTGCCATTGGAAGCCAAGAAGGCTAAAGGAGGCACTTTGTTCTCTACTTAGAGGAGGAGGAGACCTCGATGGTCAAGGGGACCCTGAGGACAGCCTCCCTCTACATTTGCCTCCTCCTCTTCTTCTTCTTGGGCTCTTCATGATGGCCTTGGGCTGAGTGATGAGGCTGTGGCAGGAAGGGTTAAAACTCCCTCAGTTGGCAACAACAAGGCCCATTCCTAATGGTGGTGCGGGCCATGGGGAGAAAAGGGGGCTTGCTATCTGTGAATGCTGAAATCCGTGGATGGCAAGTCTGCGGATAAGGCGGTCCCACTGTACTAAGTATATATAGCACTATATACATGACAACCAGCTATCTATTACTCAGTAAATAACCCTCGTTGTCTATAGGTCATGCTCACATTTTTATACACTGTCCATGGCATGATCTTCTCACACAGATGCCGCAATTGCCCCTGCATCAGCTTCTTGCATAATGGCTGTTGAGTCATTCTGGGCATGCCCTCCAAGTGGTGTGATGATGACACTCCATGTCGGTCACAATGATGCAATCTTACCAGATGTTGCATCAGCCAGCTGC